ACTATTATTGTCCCAGGAATAATATATTCTAATATATTGTTATTTTAGATGCACCATTTACTCTACACATTAAAAACAAAAAATAACCATAAGCATAGCATTTTGGTATTCTGCCAGATATGTTACGTAAGGAATATTTTCATGTGTCAGCGTTTGAGGCTTCCTGCAGTCTTGCAGTTTCGAATGCAAAAACAATATGTAGACATATAATGGTCAAACTACAACAGATATGACTTTTTATGAGTCTTTGTATTAGGGGTCCGGAAAATTTAAAATCCCAATCGGACATTTGCATTTAGGCCACGCCCCCTTCAAATAGCATATTTTAGTACGACTTTTCACACATATTACAAGTTGTTACGTATTCATAATATGATGAAGTAAACAATATAAACACCGATATTCATGTTGTTTTATTTACATACATAAATATGAATATTAATAACAAATGACAAGGCCATATTAATAACTTTTCCTGTATCATCTATCTGCCTGTTTCGCCTGCCCTTCCATCGTCGTAGCGTCGGTCTAGGGTCAAAGTCGTTCAATCGTGTTCCGCATTTTAAAATTACATGGAAAACATACATTTATTTCTGTTATAATATTGATTTGTTCCATAGTGAACGGTCAGTCTTCTAATTAATATTCATGAGTTGTATCTGCTTGAGTGTATGCGTTATTACATTTGGATCGAGACTATATCCCATATTTGGTTATCACGTGACCTCACGGGAAAAGATTTTATTTAAAACTAAAGACTTTTTATAAACAAGACAGATAATATGACCACAAATACTAAAATATCGTTGATAGCGATAGTTATTTGAATATCTTTTTCATCTGTACTAAAAATATATCGATCGTCACAGAAAACAAAATGGCAGATGATCAAGATTCAATATATGACTGAAAACAATAAAATTCCTTTTACCTGAACATCCTCATTGTATGTCAACCAAGTGAAAGTCGTTAACCACGACTTACAAAATGATTGTCCAGACTTTGAGGGTTTGGCAGATCCGCTCGACTGATCTCAGTTTATTGCCTATTACAGTGATTGACCACTTGGACTGTCATGTAGGTACGATGTATTTACAGTAATCAAAACAAACAAAGCTTGTCAGTGTAGATGATCTTTATTGTGTTACAACTGGAGACAGAAGCTGCTCAGTCCTAACTGTAGATAATGTCCAGTCAAAATTTAAGAATGTTCGGTCAAAATTTAAGAATGTCTGGACAGAAAAATTTAAATGTCTGGTAAGAAATATTTCAAACCGGACATTTGAGATTCCAAATGGGACATGTCCGGGGCATATGACCGTTTCCGGACCCTTGCTTTGTATGGCGTTTTTTATATATGTATCCATTCTATGACAACTAATGATTATTTCAAGGTATCATTTGGGGCAATCTGATTATGGGTGCTTTAAATAATGGTGAGTGGGTGCAATCTGCCAATCAGTTCACACTAGATTTCGTCAAAATTACTGTTCAGAATTGACAACAAACATACATCAAGATATACAATGTACACTTTTTTTTACCACATAGTGTACTAAAAGGATTAACTTGACTTTCTGTTTTCGGTGTCACATTTGATAATCAACTCAATGAGTATAGTGCTATGCACAGTAAAATCTGTTAACCATAAAGGAAAATAGTGTTGCCTAATTAAGACTCAATGGATAACATCCATCAAGGAAGTTTAACAATATCCAAACATTGCAGAAAGTGAGGTTTTTTTTAGAAGTAATTACATTGAAAACATGTGTCTGAAAGTCCATGACCTGAACTTTTCATTGCTTCCATAATTTCGAAATTACACGAAATGAGTGTTTTTTAGATGGCAATTGCTGACCCATATGTAGTTGAAATGAAATATGTCTGTTTTTCTATACATAATATTCCTTAAGTCTATGCTCATTTAGCTTTCATGTTGAGATGTACAAACTGATATGAACTCACCTCTGGTGAACGAGGAATATCCCGAACACTTGTAAATGTGTGAAATGTGAAAAAAGTTTTCATTAAGTTTTTAAACAGAGGTCTTATGTTCAAGCCATAAAAGATCCTTGGAAATGCACCATATTAGAAGGTTGAACATCAAGAGTTTGTTTCATGATGTTCTCATGCGATAAGTTATAACCTCACATGTGGTACAACTTACGAATCGGCAGTTTGTCTCTCAGCGTTTAAAGTTGAAAGCAATATCAGTAGTCCACGTATTATGATGATTAATTTAATGTCATATGAGAAGTGTCACACAAAGTGTGGGTATGTGAAGTTCATGGTCTGGATTAATGTGAACATATCAGCTTAGGCAAGTGTATGGAAAAACAGGTCTGAGTTGAACATTGATGAAGTGTTATGAGATGCTGTCCATCAAACTGCAGACTAACGCAACAAACAACTGCCCCTCAATTAAAAAAGAGCCCCTGTGTGTGGGAGTTTCATAACCTAGTGAAAATCTAGACTTGCTTCAATTAGAGCCATAGCATTACAGTAAGGGCTGGATAGAGGGGAAATTATTATGGTTCAGGGACTGTGAGACAGACTAATATAACAGCTAAGGTTATGTGTGTGGACAAACAGACCTAAGTTGAACACAGAATGAAGTGTGATGAAATGCTAGCTAAGCCAGCCATGTGTTCCTTTTGGCTGGCATTCAAGGGCAACTTACTTCCAGTGTTATATTGGCAGGGTCTAACTGCTATCATGGAGGATATGTATACCTAGGTTCAAATGACATTTCCGTGAAAGACATATAAGCCATGCAGCTCTGTAGTTGGTCATCTTGTCTGCATGGATCTGAAGTAGGCCATCCTGCTGCTGTAAAGGAAGCTACACAGCAGCAAGTGGCCAGGCCAAACAGAAGGTGGAACACACATGTGGGGAGTGCAAGGGTTGCCCATGTGCTTCCATGTAATAGTAAAGGCATTCTTTGTCACTTGCCTCCCACTCCACTGTTAGGGCTCTCTTTACTGTTTTCTACCACATTGCCAGGATTGTACTGTGCCGCCGCCGTCACCCGATGTAGGCCAGGAGCAGACGGCCAAGTGCTTCCAGCAGCCCTCAATGTGCTGCACATTTACCCGCATTGTTGCCTTGAGTGGACACAATTCTATACAAGTCTTGCTTATCCCAATATTTGAAGGGTTGGACTGCTCCTCATTAGGCCAGGAATTCAGCATGGGACATGTTGTGGTTGGGTTTGAAAGAAGACCAAAAAATGAAGAATTGTATTTATCAGATTGATCCTTCTTATGAATGATATAGCAGACATTAGCAGTATACAAACATATTGGTCATTCAACCCAAATTTGACATTTCAAATTTGAGCAGGAATATTGAATTGGTACATATGTATACTATTCAAAAGAAGTTAAAGAACACCCAATGTTTTCATATGACTAGTTCATCTGTCATAGCTGATTGGTATGCAAACATCCTTCCAGTTGTGGGTGTTCTTTAACTTGTTCTACTATACCTACTTGCATAGGTGGTGTTAGGCTAAGTTATCGTATGTCAGTTTACATAAGATGTAACCTACCCTAGCTTTTTGATGAACACAAGTGTAGTAACACTTGAGTCAGTAGTAAATAGCACACCCTGAGGTGAAAGTTTGTGTATGGTGGAGCGGAACACAGTGTCCATGTGTAAGACATCTAACCTTTGTACACAGCTTGTGTAGGCACAAGACAACTTGTGGTAGGGATCCCTTCAAACATAGGTCAAGTGAAGAGGTATGGACCAGTAATGAAAACATTGCCAGCTTGGTTGGAGTGATTGCTCTGTAAGAAGTGCAACAGACAAGCCTGAGTCAGGCAATACATGATTTAGCTGTAGCTAATGGCCTAAAACAAACTGGAAGGTTTATCATTTTCACATGTTGTGGGGCAGTGTTAGTTGACAGAGCATGGCGTTTCACTGGAAATTTAACTTTACCTTCATTGAACATACTGAAGATGTTTTGTATTTTATTCATGACAACTAGAAATCTTGAAATTTTTCAGTGAGATCAGATGATGGTGAAGGGCTCAAATTCACACAATGCAGCGTTCATGCAGCTCCCATTAGCAAACCTTCTGCATCAAATCATTTTCAGTAATAATTAATGTTTAGATAGGTTTATGAATTCTTTGAGCATTGCCTAGTCATTCTATATAAATTCTGTTGTACATTTGTGTAAATGTCTTGTTAAACAACATGTAAATTGAAGTTTGCAATACAACTGTTTTATTGTAATCACCCAAAAGTTTTATTTCAACCCCCAATGCAATTGGCTTGGACTTGTTTAGAAAAAAATAAGAAAAAACTCATTGTTGCATCTACTCCTCCTGTATTGCACCAGGGTGGCGGTGCATTGTTTACACTCCAGTAGTGCTCAGTCACAATGTTCAACGTTGGCTGGCTGTATGCTTGGTCATAATGAAGGAAGAGTAATGTCCAGCTGCAGTTGAACAGTCACACTTACTGTGTGTGTCCACCACACCATAGTTGTTGTCATACACAGCAGATTATCCTCTGTGACTGACCCTAGGTATAGTGTTCATTGTTCTGGTCACAGCGAAGTCCAAGCCTCCGCTATCTGATACTATTCTAAGTCACAAGTATCTGATGTACAGAATACTTTATGTCCCCAATGACCAATGCTTGTAAGAGGCTGTTGCCATGTAGCAGGGAAAATATGCCGAGTCAAGACATCAACCCTATGCATTTGAATCTAAGGTCACAAATAAGTCCTTTTAAGAAGGGCCAATTGTATTGTGTAAATAAATCCAGGTTTGTAGCTGATATTAGATGCTTTGGGTATACTCAAGAGATGGTGAGGAAGTTTAGACTGGTTGTTTGTTCAAATCCTGAAAATCATCATACAAATGGGATTCTTTTCAAAGCCACATTTCACTCCTCAGTTGAGGTTGATGGCTTTAGCATTTTTGTTGAGCTAGCACATGTATGTTATTATGATTATGTACATGAACACACCTATGTTGTTTCAGATGCAGCAGATTCTGTACCAGAACTACAAAGAGGACAAGGGATCGTTCAAGAAGACGTTGAAGAGCAAGGAGGTGGAGAAGGCTGTGACCCTGCACCCAGTGAAGGACCCTGTGTATCAGTACCGCATCTACAACCATATCCAGTCAACCATCATCATGAACCTGCATCAGAAAGAGCTGCAGCTTGTGCGCGAGGTCACCATGATGGAGCAGCTGCTTGGACTGCAGAAGTCCAACATCGTGGACGACAAGCTGGGCATCTTGCCCTCGCTCAATAAGTATCCACCAAAATCAGAGGAGGAGGTGCTCACTTGGGACTTTTTGAAAAAGCCAATATATTCTCATAATCATTTGAATCCAAAGCGGGGCATGGAGGCATCCTTGTCCGGGGCTTTGGATGATGTTGTGATGCAAGTCATGCAGTTAGTGAATAAAAACGCCCGCCAGAGAGGGAGGACTATAGATTTTAAAGAAATACTGTATGGTTATAGGAGGACTAACCCTTTATTTGGGGCAGATTACATTCTTGACTTATTGCTCATATATCGCAAACACAAAGGCCGCAAAATGACAGTGCCTGTGCGTCGCCATGCTTATTTGCAGCAATCCTTTCTGAATGTGTTGTTTACTGAGGAGATTCCCAAATATCATCCAAGGCCAAGTGTTGGGGGGCAAGTGATGAACTTGTTCAGGCAAATAGCAGGTGGCTCTGATGATCAGAAAGCTTTAGACAAAAGAAAAGAAACAATTCATTTGATAATGCCTCTTGCAGGACGATTAAAAATATTTCAGCGCTTTATGCGAAACATTGAGGAGGTGTGTTTAAAAACTGGTGAAAATGTGCATCTTCATGTGGTGTTGTTCAACAGTGAAAAGGAGGACATGGCTTTAGAGCGGAGCATCGATCTGCTTCAGAAGTATCAGAGAAAATATGGTGGCAATAGCATCGAGATCATACAAGCAAACGGTGCTTTCAATCGTGGTAGGGGACTGGAGTTGGGAGCTTCAAAATGCAAAAGTGATGCATTGTTGTATTTTGTGGATGTGGATATTGTTCTGAGGAGAGATGCCCTTAATCGCATTCGCCTGAACACAAAGCAAGGCTTCCAGGTGTACTTCCCCATTGTGTTCAGCCAGTTCGACCCATCATCAGTGTGCCAGGAGGACAGCCAGCACTGTGTGTGCACCAGCACCAACAACTGTCTCATCAAGCCATACGACTTTCATCATGACACAGGCTACTGGAGACAGTTTGGCTTCGGTATTGCTGCCATGTATCGTAGTGACATGTTGTCAGTAGGAGGCTTCGATCTCAGCATAGAGGGCTGGGGGAAAGAGGACGTGGACCTCTACACGAAATTCATCGAAAGCAATATCACAGTGTTTCGCTCTATAGACCCAGGAATGACACATGCATTCCACCCAATAGAGTGTGATGCTAGTCTCGAGACAAACCAGATGACCATGTGTATCAACTCAAAAGCCCAGAGTTATGGGTCAGTGTGGCTGATGGCCAAGACAGTGTATGAAGAGGATGACATCATGCGGCGCCACGAGAAGCATGCACTGGATGTGCGATCCTAATGAACATCCAACCTAGGATCTCACTGGGGACCTCATTGCATTTTGCTCTGCATATATTCTACAGGGTCGGATGGGGGTTGTACAGGGGGACATTTGACAGGCTTCAAGTACTTCAGTGTTCATCTACATTAGACCATATGTGCCTGTTGATATATTCATGGATGTTTATATGTTTGTAAAAGTGTAGAATTTGTTCATATGCTGCTTTGTCCTGTTTTGCTCAAGAATGTTACATCGTGTATCCATTGCCATGGATGGGAGTGGTAGAGCTACCACAACTGGGGAACAAATGTTATTTACAGAACAAAATATAAGCTGTTTATTTGTTATCTTCATTCATGTGTGATAATGTGCACGATGTTATGCTTTGTGAATGTTGTAGTCCAAGATGAATCAAAAGCTTTGTATGACAGAAACATTATGTGCCTCTTGGAATGAGATAGACTTAGAAAAGTAGATGTCCATTATGCACCTTTTCTGGTGTAAATTGCCTCGGGAGTTCCCACAACTTACATGTGTAAATAATTAGTGCAGCTCTAGACCTCTGCACATGTTTAATCCATCCATCCAACCACTTCAACATCAGAATCACTTCACTTCATACATACTTCATTTCGGGAGGTATTTGAAGCTTTTTTATTGAGAAAATTATGAAGTGCTCGAATTCCCGTTTTTAATATACAAATGTTATTAAGTTGCAGTTGAAGCTGTATTCAATATCAGAACTCCATTGATAGTAAAGGATAAAGTTTCATCAGAACATGAATTTGAAACATGCTTCTCTTTATGTAACAAGGCAGCAAAGTGGTTGACATTATTGAAATACAGTCACATTATTTTTAAATGTTAGTCTTTTTAATGTTATAATATTGATGATATCAATGTGATATTCATGAAAACAATCCATTAGGAGCATTACAAGACACATGAAATAACCTACATATACATTTGGCATGTTTGGAGACAAAGATCGTTTTAAGTGATTTCATGAAGTAAGACTCAGAATTCATAGTTACAAGTGAGAGAGAAACAAGCTTTGTCTTCATTGTATGAATATGGTATTAACGATGCATTTTTTTTGGTACTAAAAGTATTAGATAAAGTATTTTTATTCCTATTTATGACATAATTATAATTTTATGAGTTGTGTTTTTAATGGCATAGCAGAAGGGGGATGTACTGTAAATAGCAGTGCATTGTGAGATGCTCTTTGATGATGATGTCCATACCATACTGTACATATTCGTCTGTGTTGCATAAGAGCAGGTTGAGTGTTGCTCAGCGTCCCCTGTTGAAACTGGAAGCGCAAGTAACTCGGAACAGAAAGTTGCAACCTGTTACCTGCAAAGAAGAGGAATTAGTTTTTAGGCGCAAAAGAAAGCTTCTTCTTTTTTTTTTTTCTTTTATAGTGTGACAAAGATTTTTTTCTATCATTCTTTTAATTTGAAAAAGTTTGCATACCCAGATTCATATTTTGTATTTAGGGTGGGTATGGGCTTTTAAGGGAAATATCTTTTTGACATCTGTGTGTGTGCATATGTCAACAGTGCTTGAAAACTAAACCAAATTGTCTTTGTGGGCCCAGTATGTACAGCAAAAGCATGAATGTTATGCGAGTTAATTCTTGGTTGTGCATCAATTCACATTTGTGTATCAATCACTTTAAGCAATGTTATTCATCCTTAGCATTAATCATGTAGGCAACTATGGCTCAGTCAGAGAGGGGTCTGTTTCTGTTAAGACCTTTTGTTTATGTTTCTTTTTCTCATTACATTAATAATCAACTAGCCACTTCAGGTGAGGTCTTATCACTAATTCCCAAATCATCCTCTCAGTATAGGCAGAAAATTGTCTGGGTACCAATAGTTTCACAAAAACATGCGTGCAATGTTAATCAATTTGCACAGTACAGTTAAAGATTTTGTTTGGAATATGAGTAATTTTGTATTCCTGCTCAAGTATAAAACTTTTAAGTAGGGTTTGCCACCATTTTATCATATTTCTACCAAATTTATGTGTCAAAATAACTTTACTTGTCTTGTACTGTGTAGCAGACACTTTCACGTTATTGAATTTCTGCCTTCACTTTGTCTTCATAATTTATCTTGGAAAACTTGCAGTGCCATCCATTTGAGTCTGGCTTTGGTTGTGAATTTTAACAGCCTATCAAGAGATGTGTGTGAATTATTTAAAAAAAAGTTTCTATGAAAGTGTCTTAAACTATTGAGTGTTCTAAGTCTTCCTTGTAAACCAAGCAAGGGTTGCTCTGTCTGAGGTTGTAAATATGGGGTGGAAATGAGAATGTGTCCAAGTAGAAAGCAAGTCCAGCTGATCCCCTGATGGCATTGTTCAGGTGAACTTGACTTCTAGCTGTGGTCATACCACTAGTACATACACAACAGTCCACTTTGATAGGTTCTATTTCCAGCAATACAAATGTATGGTCCACTGAACACAGATCTGCACTCACTGGATCATGTCATCCTGTGTCATGTGCACTGTTTGTTATATTTCATTATTAGAACTTTGGCAGTCATATTTTGAATTTGGCAATAACAATAACACAGCCTTCCATCAAATTATCACGGATTTGTTTAACAAACATGTTTTTGTGTGTGGACATATTACTTCTGTTTTGCATTTGGTATCAGTAGAAGGGATTGTTATGTAGCAGATGTGAAAAATTCACTTGCACTGCTGAATTTTTTTCTGATTTAGAAAGTGTAGATTAGGTTGTTCTTGCCAGTTTTTACTAGTATTAAAAATGATTGCCACCAGTGTAACTTCTGATGACAACTGTTTTTCTGTATTATCGTATATGACCTTAGATAAGGCGAATTTTGAGGACCAGAAAAAAGGTTCTGTAGAAAGGGTTCAGCTTATGTAAAGGTTACATTTTCATCCAACTTTTATTCTGTTGGTAAAAAACTACATGGTATCACTTCAGGTGAAGGATCAAGTCTAAAACAAACTTTGCCATGAAAATGTGAAATTTGCGATTAAACATCAGAAGACAAGATGATTGTATTTCTTGTTATGCTACGTATTGTTTTATATATAGCCGGAATAAAGATTACTGTGTGTATTGTCTCGTAAACTAAGCTGTACACATGTTATTCTCAGTCTACTGGTTTGACCTGATTAACGTGTAATTCAATACAGATTTGTTGATATTCTACTTCCGGTGACGGATCATTAGGAGACATAGTTTTAGGTTGGAGGTCCTGCGTATGTTCCGCACATAACATTTTGATCCAAGTTAATACCTTGGCTTAACTGTGAGATCGGCTTATCTACGGTCATATACGGTAGATAATCTGATGATGGATAATTATTGGCGTGCTGCAGCCTCCACATCTGGAGTAATACCTGCATCTCCCCGTACCCAGTGTGCACAGTGTGGAGGAGTTGGTCCCCATACCCTGCTGGCCTGTGTGGAGGAGTTGGTCCCCATACCCAGTGTGCACAGTGTGGAGGAGTTGGTCTCCATACCCTGCTGGCCTGTGTGGAGGAGTTGGTCCACGTACCCTGCTGGCCTGTGTGGAGTTGGTCCCCGTACCCTACTGGCCTGTTTGGAGGAGTTGGTCCCCATACCCTGCTGGCCTGTGTGAAGGAGTTGGTCCCCGTACCATGCTGGCCTGTGTGGAGGAGTTGGTCCCCGTACCCTGCTGGCCTGTGTGGAGTTGGTCCCCGTACCCTACTGGCCTGTTTGGAGGAGGTGGTCCCCATACCCTGCTGGCCTGTGTGAAGGAGTTGGTCCCCGTACCATGCTGGCCTGTGTGGAGGAGTTGGTCCCCATACCCTGCTGGCCTGTGTGGAGTTGGTCCCCGTACCCTACTGGCCTGTTTGGAGGAGTTGGTCCCCATACCCTGCTGGCCTGTGTGGAGGAGTTGGTCCCCGTACCATGCTGGCCTGTGTGGAGGAGTTGGTCCCCGTTCCCTGCTGGCCGGTGTGGAGGAGTTGGTCCCAGTACCCTGCCGGCCTGTGTGCACAGTGTGACAACACTTCTGCTGGCCGGTGTGGAAGAGTTGGTCCCCGTTCCCTGCTGGCCTGTGTGGAGGAGTTGGTCCCAGTACCCTGCCGGCCTGTGTGCACAGTGTGACAACACTTCTGGTGGCATGGGTGGGGAGGAGTGGGTTCCACAATATGTGCATTACTTGCACATCCAACAAGCCAGGTAAAGAAGTATTACATCTGTATTGAAAATTTGCAACATGTCCACACTTTTATAAAACTTGCACACAAAAACAGAAAAAGAAAAACTATCTTCAACTTTTACAATTTGACATGGGTATCGAATGGTTTATTACTTTGTCATATGTGAGTATGCATCTACTTAAACTAGGCTCCATTGCGAAGAACCTTTCCTTCTAAGCAATCGTGACAACTATAATTATTCAGAACCCTTTGCTCTGGTGTAGTCTTCTTTCCTGCCCTGAAACCGATACATGACTTGATCATTAGTGGAGGTGTCATTTCCAATCTTTTGTAATCTCTCTTATTTTAATCTATACCTGATATTTATTGTAGTGAAGCCATGTTTGTCTGTAAGATTGTCTGTAATGGGCGGGCATTCATCAGTGAAGTGTTGCACTTGCTCACATATTTCAAAGTCTGGTGTTTGAAGCAGGTAGTCACGTGTGGAACATCTACATGCTTGTGTAGAATTCTACCTTTTTTATGTGTTTGTGTGCAAAGTTGTCAACAATTTGCTCATTTGCACAGTTTCGCTAATATGCCTGTTTAGAAATGATATTAGTAGTTGGCACCAAGGTTTGTTTGTGGTTTGTGACAGTCACCTTCAGTATAACAAATAAATATATCAAGAATATTGGTTTTGAGCTTGTTGAGACTAATGTTTGCGAAATAAGGGGAAATAATGTAGTGAGGTATTTCTGAGCAGTCTAGTCTTAGAAGTGTTACTTACACATTAGTGATACTCAGTAGATTGAATGAGCTATAGTTTTGTGCATGTCATTAGAGTATTTCTAGATGCATCAATAGAATCCTACATTTTCCTGCACTGAATTCCAAGTAGGAAGTTAGAAATTGTGCCAAAAGTAAGGGATTTTTTAATATAGTGTGTTTTAATGGTAATTTGAATGCCTATTCAAATCTTTTCTGGGAAAACTAGGGGCGATGGGGTAGCGTTGTGGTTAAATTGTTCAGTTGTCATGCTTATGTCCTGGGTTTGTTTCCCCACATGGGTACAATGTGTAAAGCCCATTTCAAGTGTCCCCCTGCTGTGATATTGCAGGAATATTGCTAAACGCAGCATAAAAGCATACTCACTCACCCTTGAACGTTTCATAGGCATGACTTGTAAATGTTAATGCCATCAAGAAAGTAATTCATTTCAGAACTTTGTGAATAAAACAGTATCATTTCCTTTTCTTCCTATGTGACATATATATAGCCATGTAAGTCTTTGATTTGTGAATGTTCACAATGAGACATAGAGGGAGATTATGGTAATATTATGGTGTGACAATAGGTTCATGTATGCTGTAGTGTTGTAGGATCACTTGTTGTCATGGGATGATGATGTATTGTGGGTTTGTAGCATCACATATATGGTGGTTCATCTAACTGGACTCTGCTCATGATCGCACTGTTATATTCTTGTATATGATTCATACATGTTTTGTGATTTACATCATATGTGCCACACAGAGAATTTCCGAAGAGAAACATTGGAGTTTTGACAATGAATGTATTTCTTGTGAAGAATCAAAATAAATAATTATTTATTTACAAAAGCATTTTGTGATGAAATTACTTAAGAGGGAGAATGGAGTAATATGGGATTTCAAGGGTTCAGTCTTGATTGTACTCAACAAGCAAAGATTCTGAGGAGTTACAGAATGGTTGATACAGGGAAATCATCATGATGGATATTTTTGGATAAAAATATTCATATCAAAATTCACATTAGTACACAGTTAACAAATGAGTTAGGAATATTTTTGGGGATATTTTATGAAAGTGTGTGCACTGCCTTCACTACAAAAACATATCCCCCAAAATATTCATGATTCCTTTTTTTGTTCAGTATGCATACAATTCCCAACTTTATCAGGAGATGAGAGTGAACCTGATAGTGCTATTGTCTTGTATGGCATGAGGATGGTACAGGAGTGAAGGTTCACTTAAGCTCTCTTCATTACACCCTTGGCTACAAACCTCATCATCACTGTTCTCAGCCTTCTGAAGGTTTCCTCAGAATAATTTACCAAGTGATGCTTCAGACAAGAACATAAGAACAGCCCCCAGAATGTTGAACCAAAACCCTCCAGGACATCACCAAATGCACATACAACACTGGGACACAAGTCACGCACAAGTCAGACACAAGTGTCTTTTAGACAAAGTAATTTCTAAATGTAAAAAAGAAGATGTTACCCTAACAATCTTAATCATGCCAGAAAAGAAGATATCTAGACCAACAAGAAGCTGCTAGATGCCTTTGTCTGAACTTTTCACAACCATACTTTCACCTCAGATGTATATACTGGGGAATATGTGATTTGCTATATTGCCGAACCAAGGGAGTTAACTGACTACAAAAGTCCAGTTTCCACCCTTACCAAACCAGGATGGAATTTCTTGGCTCGATCGTAGCGCCACCAGTGTCTAATACGAGTAATGTCCCTTCTATGTCCCTCCCATTGACCAGTCAGATTCCACCTCTCATCTCACTTGCATTTGCTTTGAACAAAATTGTGACACCCAGTGAAGACGATCTGATCGATAATTAAAGGGGCACTGATCTAACGCAATTCCCCGGACTGGTTGTTGCCTTTGTTATTGTTTTTTTCCCCGTGAGCACCCGGATGATACGCAACGCAACTGAGCGTGACCAGAGACTGGGCTACCGTCTGCAAGGACAGCTAAATAAACTTGGAGGCTGGAGGCAATATTTGTTTTACGCATTTTTGCATAAACACTGATTGGTTAACTGTGATCTATAAAGATTTCGACAAAGGGCGCATGTTAATTAATTTCTTCAGCCTAAACAAACAGATAAAAAGAACGCCGGAGCTCATCGGATGTCGTCATTTGGAAATACCCAAAATGATTATAGTTTAATACTAAAATAAGTATCTATGCAGTGAAAGCACTTTCGGATTTCGGATTGCGTCGATAATACGATTACTACTCCCTTGTTGTCCTCCACGTTTTCTCGTATAACCCTACACTTGTGTATTTGTCGTCATTCACTTGATGCTCAGTTAATGAATTTATTACAGGTACAATTAGTGGTAGCACCACTTAGATTACCTGACAAAGGTTCCCATTTGGCATTTATTGTGTCTGGGGTAATTATTCAATCTAAATCCAGGTTTAAAGTGAGGTGAAATGTGTGTTATGTAATATGCACGTGGCAGCCCAGCAAGAGGTGAATGATCAGTTCATTTACTTTTTTTGTAAATCAACGGATCGTTCCTAGTCATCAAAGGATTAACAGAAAATACGTTGATTGATTAATCACTGTTATCTTGCACAGTGGATATGTCAAAAGGGAGTGTTTACATGTCTAGGTTTACTAAAACAAAGGGAATACACTCATATCATGGCGTGAAGTGTCGATGTAAAAACAACATACTTTGTTCAATGGGTTAACTAATAATACGTTGATTGATTGCTCATTGTTATCTATCACTCAATGGATTTTTTAGGAACCGTGGACGTTATTGAAATAGTTGTCACGTGGGCTTTCTCAGCCGACCCTTGAGACGTGACACCTATGTGAAACACCTGAAACAATCTAAGTGATCAGTTGAGAAAGGAACACGGGTTATAATATCCTGAACCGATATATATCTTTTAAAATATTTGATTGTTACAGAGACACGTGACATCGAATAAGTTTCTTTGTACAGCTGCAGACGAGTAGGATATTGTTCCTTTGTGTGGATATTCACGGATACACTCCTCGACCAAGGAAGCTGCCTAAAATTTATACACATAAATTTGGTAGGTTGCAATAATGGTATTTGAAATTTGGTTTTCCTTCGTTTGAACCGATTCGTTCTTGTTTCTCTACGTCTTGGTTGGGAATTTTTTCAATGCGCGATAGACGTTCTTTTCACAGGTCTTTTCCTTTGTAAGCGTGTATATATTACCGTCAATTTGTAAAATGTGATTCTCTCAGGCAATTTATAAAATGTGTAAATATTTCAGTCACAACAGATTATTATGTAGGATTAGAAGCCAAACAACATAGAAATGTACTTTTCAACGGAACATTTTCAGTCTCTTGGTGATGACATTAAACATCAAAATGTTTGGAATTCGTTATCATAATAATACAGATGGAAATGTTTTTCAGTCACTTTGTAAAATAACTGAATATTTAGACGTTTAATAAATTTGAAAATGTTACATATTTTGACAGTAAAAAAATATACACACTATAAAAAAGCAATGCTCAGCTGAAATATTTACTTTGTGTTGCAAGTCAAAATAGTGTAAACGAAAATCGCAAAATTACTAAGAAAGTGACTTATCAAAACTTCGTCACCATTACCGATGCTACCCACAAATATACCTACATTTCCTTATTATCTCGAAAACTGTGTTTCATTTTGTTGATCAATGTGACCATACGCCCTTATTACTACCCATAAAAGTGACTGATGCGCTTACGAATTGCGCAGCAGAGGTCGCGAACTAGTCTAGATTTCTGCTGTACATCCGGGTACTCACTGGGGAAAAACAATAACAAAGGCAACAACCAGTCCCGGGGAATTGCGTTAGATTAGTGCCCCTTTAAGATCTATGTTGTAATGGAAACGGTCTTACCTCGCGAAGTGCATCAAACCATTTGATCACCATGATTAAAAACATGAAAAGATTTGGAAAATATCTGTCAACGCCCAGTTGGCAGTACACGTTTGCAATTTCTGCAGTCGACGGAAATCTGCACGTTGAAATTCATGTTGTTTACGAACCGGATGTCTAGTTCGTTGCGCGATTTTGATTGGACTGTGCATAGACTCCAGCCAAGATGTCACTCTGGAATTCCAGTCTAGTTCGGCAAGGGTGGAAACTGGACTTCTACAGTCAGTTCACTCCCTTGCCTCGGGAAGATGGTGACTAGGTAACATTGAAGGTCTGCGCAACCACTGCAAATTTGCTTTTTATTACTGAGAAAACAAACATTTTTACAATCAGTGACATTTATCAACACCTAATACACATCAATTAGTAGGTCATGAACTTACAAGTGTGTACTGAAGTATTGCCGATATGATACAATAACTTCATAATTGTTGCTGCTGGTAATGACTGACATTTTCGATCGAGGTCAATCATGAACACAGCCATCAGAAAGGCTTCTCACCACAGCAACTTGTGCCACTGTAATAGGTCTTGACCAAGCTTCACATACATCATCTCCGGAGGTGGGTTCTCATTTGGGTTGACTTACAGTCCAAGTCACCAAATCTGGAAAACTAGTTTAATTCATGAGAAAACACTTTTCCATCAGTGTAAATGATGACAAGTGATAAAAATGCCACTAATATGTCAAACGTTAAGGTCAGTTGCTTATTATAACACCTGTCAATAGTTTGGTCCTGTTTATTTGTTGATAGCATGAGAGATATTGTGACTGCCTTATTACTTCAAATAGCACATACTAGAAGTGAATTCTTAAGTTTATTCAGATGGATATGTTTTAAGTCCTGCTGCATCCGGCAAGCGTTTGCCTTACATGCAGTGAGACGGCATTTGAACTCATTTTGTAACCTGAAAGAATTCAGTTCAAAAAGATATTATCCAGAACCTGTTTTCAGGTTTGTTGAACAAGCATTTATTGTTTTCAAAGGCAGAAACAATTTTGTGGTTAGCTGTGTCAATATCGACATGTCATTAGTTTCAGAATTTAGGGCTTTTCCTTCTGAGATCCATTTTTCCAAGTCATCGAATGGCAACATAGAGTATTTTTACCTAAATATAGATGTATGTTCATGATGATTAGTTCACTTCCACTAAATGAATATTTTGGAATGAAAGATTTCGGAAAAACAAGTATTATAGTTTGTGTGGCCTGTAGTGTGACACTTTCTCTGCAAGTGAGAAATATGTAATACTGACGCTATCACACGTTATTGCATCCCACGTGGATCTTGTTACCGAAATATACTGATTGGGACGGGACCCTACCTAGATCAACCTATTATAGCCCGGCCTCGCGTTATTCCATTAGTCATTATCTTCATGAATGATCATAGTGAAATATTTGTTATTTTGGTCTTGACCTCCCAGTGTTAGCTCGTGCACGTCGTATCTCATTTGAAATAACGGATGAGGAAGTGCCAAGTACCATGGACTGTGACACAATAGTACACAGGACCGAAATCCATCAATTACACATTTACATTTGAACGTCATGTAACATAATATATTTCAATGCATTTATTTTGCAAAGTGGCCAGAAAATGTTTCGCAAAATATAATGCCATGTAACAGACACGCGGTCCCACATTTAAAACCTCTCGTTTATTGACACAGGATGACATTTTGATTACATGTAACCTTTTCTCGAACTGAACAAATCTGGTGCAATGGGAAGGGTTCTGTGAATAATCAAACCCACCCACCTTTTACAATCACACTTATTATGCTATTCAATACTGAAACATAAACCCCTTTCTTTTCCTTCCGTTTTTCAGCGACCATCCTGGTTTCCCAGCTCGTTGTTGATGTCTTGCACGTTTAGGACGAAAGGCTGTAAATTGTCGTCTGCT